CGAAGCCCCTCTGTCCAATCCCTGACTGCTGATTTATGTGAGTCTGGTCTTTAAGCAGCCCAGGGCTTCCTGAGGGCAGGGCTCAGCCTGTCCTATCACCCCTGTCCCCTCAGGGCTGAAGAGGGGATTCTTGCACAAGCAGGCAGACCCAATGGGACGACCCCTCTGGCTGGAGACCACTCAGCTTATGTACTTCCATTTTACTAATAACACCACCCATGCTTCAACCCGTCTCTAGAATGGGGTTCTGGGAAGTGGGCCCCCCATCCTCTCCACAGGGAGGGGTTAGGTAGAATGTTCCTTCTTCCCCTGTCCTGGAAGGTGCCTTAGTAGAGATGGGACCAGCTGTTCCCAACAGGACATGGTGGGAGCCTGAGGTCAAGGAGGACGAGGCTGAGCCAGGCTGGGCTTAGCGATGCCGCAGGAGGAAAATGGACCTGGTCCAGGAGGAGGCCACCACCTCCTCTGCAGCCGTGAAGACCACAGGACCAGGCAAGAGGAGGTGCCAGAGTAAGGCGGACAGAAGGGGGAGAGACGGAGAGGAAGAAAGCCGGAGAGGAAGATGGAGGGATGGAGGGAGCGAGGAGAAGGGCAGCACAGACAGGAAAAAGAGAAAGACATACACATACAACAAGACAGAGAAAACTATGCCCAGAGGCAGAGACAGAACCACGCACAGAGAGAAAGAGGAACAGAGACAGAGGCAGAGGCAGGGAGACACACAGAGATACAAACACACAGAGATGGGCTTGGAGGAGTCCAGGTGGGAGGGTGGTGGGTGGGAGGAAAACGGAATACGCGCATAGTGCCCCGCTCTGGCCAAACCACTGCTGGGCGAAGCCGTTTCCCAGCTACCTGCTGACAGGGAGACTGAGGCCCAGGAAGCGGATGGGACTCGTCCCAGCTTCGGCTGTGTATGGACATTAGGATAGTTTTGGGTGGCCCAGGATTTGAACCTGCTTCCCACATGGGCTTGGGGAAACCTGGGGGTGTGTGGGGTGGGGAGGCAGAAGCCACCTTCTGCCATTAAGTTGAAACGCCAGGGCCTTCCTTGCGGGCTCCCTTGTAGCCAGAGCTGGAGTGTGTAACCCGGAGCTTCACACACTCCCCTCACCCCATTAGATGTACCTGCCTGAGGGGTTAGTTAGCTGCGGGCCCACAAAATGGAGATGGGGAGAAAGCCTCCTGGGGGCCACTGCAGGCAGCTTCAGAGCCCAGAGCAGCAGTGGCAGCAGAGCTATGACCATCTGGTGGCTAGGGCAGGTAGCGTCATCAGGGCCCACTCTGGAAAAGTGGGGGTTCCTTTACTAGGCCAGCTGTACCCTGAGTTCTTGGCTGGAGGCCCCAAATCTGGTTCTCTAGCCCACCCAGTGAATCCACAAGTTCCCCAATATCTTTTCAACTAATCCCTTCTTTGTTTAACGCAGCAGAGTTGCTTTCTGAGAGGCAGCAGAGCCTGGGCTAGAATCCTTGTTCTGTTACAAGCTGTGTGACTTGGGGAAACTCACTTAAATTCTCTGTGTCTCGGTTTCCGCATGTATAATGTGAATATAATACTATGTCTCTATCATTGGGTGAGTGTAAGGATTAATGAGTTAACACAGGTCAAACAAATAGTACACACACTTGGAGCCTGGGCTGCTGAATGGCAGCCTGGGTGGCAAGAACCCCAAAGGGGGGGCTTTGGACACATGGACGCTTAAGTTGGTTCTGCCACAGACTAGCATATGTGACCATGGACAAGTCCCTTCCTTTCCTTTGCTGCATTTGGAAATGGTCTCTGGGTTGAGAATAATCATGGCTCTGTCTGGCCTGGCCTCCCAAACTTGCTACCTGTAGCCGTTAGCTAAGCACACACCCGAGAGCTCCCCAATGCCCTGTCTCCAGCCCTCGGCGCTCTCCTGAGCTGTCCCCCCTCTACACACAGCCAACTGTGTTCTACACATCTCTGCTCAGATGTCCCTCCAGCCCCTGAGTCAACACATCCCCAGCTGTGCTCAGCGTTTTCCTGTATACCTGGTGTTGCTCCTGACTACACACTTCCCCAGCCCACCCCAGTCTTGTCAATTACAAATGCGCAAGGACTCCTGTCCATCCTGCCCCTATACTGCAGCCTCCACTCTGCCTGGGCCAGCTGCAGTAGCCTCCTAAACCCTCCTGTTGCCTCCAGAGACTCTGTGCCCAAAGCTGAGCTCCTCTGCTCACAAGCTCCCCCAGGCTCCCTGACGCCCTGCACCAACAGCGAAGCCCTCTGCCCGCACCATCTGGCCGGCGTCCACCTGGCTGTCTCCTACAACCTGTGCTCCATGCAACACTCACCAGTCCCCAGGCACAAAGCACGGTCCCAGCTCCTCCACGATACCTGTTATACTTCCACCTGCCGAACGCCTACCTGCCCCCAGAAGTCCAGAGAGCTAAGCCCTCCCTGATCCTCCAGGGTCATAGAAAAGGAGAGGGAAGCCTTTTTCTGTCCCTCTCAGCTCACCTGACAAATTGTCTCTCGTGGAGACGGTACTGCCCATGGTGAAAAGTGAGGGCTGTGGATTCTCCTGCCTGTACTGGTAAACAGGAGCTGATTACAACCTTGAAAAATTACTTCATGTCTCTGAGCCTCAGTTTTCTCACCTGCAACATGGGCATAAAAGCAGTACATATCCCGGGGGGGTCTTCAGGAAGTGGGGACGAGTGGGAGCGCATATGCAGAGCTCTCTCGGTGGTAGCCGGCGCACGGAAAATGACCCATACATGGTAGCTTTGTGGCAGGTTCTCGACGTTCGAAAGTTCGCGGACACTAATGCCTAAGCTGCTATCCCACCGGGCCATGCCCACTCTTTAAAGGACGAGGGCTTCAGGGGGTTTGGCTGTAGCTTCACAGAATTGGGTTGGAAGAGGAGGCAGGACCCGTCTTCCTCTTCCCCCAGCTTCTCACAGGAGCTGTTTTCCTACCTGCGTCCTTTGAAAAGGAAGGACCCCACTGAAAAGGCTAACATAGTGAGAGAAAGCAGCAGCTAGGAGGCGGAGGAGGAGGGAACCCAATCACTGCGTATCCACTGCCATTAGCTGGCTGCACTGGATAATGGTGGCGCTCCCGGTCCCCTAAGCTCTTTCTAGTCCCCAGCAGTTACAGTGCAGCAGCACTTTGGTCCAAATGAAGAAAACTGTTCATCAGATACCAGGGGCTAATTGGCACTACATTTGCTCACCCCGGTGGCACGGTGGCGCCTGACCTTTTCTCGGCTTCCCATTTGATGCGATGAGAGTAGTCTGCTGTGCTCTGCACCTCCTTTGGGAAGGCTTCCCCGCCCCACCGCCTCTCTCCCCCCCAGCCCACAGCCCCCTTGTGCTCCCCCATCAGGGCATAGATCACTCTGAATTCTGAATTTTGTCTGTTGCAACTGTGAATGAGGGCCTCAATGCCAGTGCAGTGGCTGGCACATAGTAGGCGTTTAATAAGTTGAGTAAAGACTGTGTTCAGCTCTGTGAAGAAGAGACCCAGGCCCTGCCCTCAGAGAGCTCTAAGCTGACTGGGGAGAAGACAGGGGCACCCCAGGCTGGGTAGGAACCGGAGCTCCCTCGGGTCCACAGGCTACAGGGTTGAGATGCCCCATCACCTCGCTTGGTCCTTAGTGCCTGGGCCCTTGAGCTCCACGGCCCCACCCCAGACGGCTTACAGGATCCTAAAAATAGTTTTATAATCTCAGGACTGGGAAGGAGCATGAAAGCCAGTCCTTCTGCTTGTACGCCTCCCGGGCCAGGGGCCTCACTTCCAGGCAGGGAGGTCTGTTTTGGTCATGATAGGAAGCAGGTCCTCAGATGATGCAGAAATCTTGCTGCGTGGCCTCACTACCTCTACCACTCCCTCCTGTTAGGAGCACCTCTGCTGTTGGACTCTGGAGCACAGCTGCTCCCTGGGTCCACTGGTGCACCGGGGAATGCTGCTTAGCGTCAGACGTAGGCACTGCTGCCTTGCCCTCTTGCCATCTCTCTAGGTGAAGGCTTCAGGTTCTGAGAGCTTGGACAGCTGTGTGGGGGGGAGGGGGGTGGGGGCGGAGCGCAAGCAAGGGCATGGGGAACTGTATCAGTGTTGAGACAAACATTCAGAGAGAGTTTGCTACCATGTTTCCAGGATGAGGGGCTTCAGATATCCCACTCCCTGTCAGGAGGCTCTCTGCTGATGGGGTGGAGCTGGAGATGTGAGTGGCAGGTCACGGTGGGCCAGTGATTACTGCCCTGCAGCCTCACAAGACACTCCCACCTGGTGCAGGGTGACTCTGGCACCCTCTGTTGCCATTTTCCCCAGAGTGTCAAGCTAGCCAGTGGTTTTCCAGGAGGAAAGAAGGCACGGGCTGTTCACCCTGGGAGGTGTGTGTGTGTGTGTGTGGGGGGTGGGTCCTGATGCAGACACCATGGATTACCTGGGGTGCTGGAGTAATGCTGCCCTCAGCTCCTGACTCAGCCCAGAGACATCTGGGTAGAAAGAGGCAACACCCTACACTCAGGCCCAGAGCGCCTATGCTTCTCCAACACAAGCTCTCACTCACCCCACCGGTCCTGCCTCCTGCCCTCCTCTCTGGAAGTCAAGAGTCTGATCATCGCACTCACCCTGGGGTTTGGGGAACTTAGCATAAGCGTCCCCAGCCCCCCTGGTGGGTGGTTGGGGGCAATGGCTAAACAAAGAGAAGCTCTAATGGGGGAACAGGCACCCAGAGTATATAATGTGGAAGAGAGGTTTGCCCTCAAAAGGGAGGAAGTATTTCCTTCTTCTGTTTCTGGGTTCTGCACCGAGCACGGGAGTCGTGGGCAAATCACTGTCTTACTGAGGTCTGAAGCTACAGTGAGGAAGGGGCAGAGAGAGCACCCCCAACATTATAAGGGGTCCTTAACGTCAACGGTCTGACGGTGCCACGACCCTCAGCACGTGTACCACGCTGGGTCCCAAGCATTCCCCACTCCCTAAACCGCCCTCCTGGGAGGCGGGCGCAGAGGGTCCGGGCACTCACGCGTGGCGTTGTACTTGATGCCGTTGAAGTACTCGGGGCACGGCCTCTCCACCAGGGCTCCGGCCACACTCCGGGGCCAGCAAGTCCCGATCTGGTCCAAGGTCGTGTTGCAGTAGGAGTAGGGACCTGGCGACGGGAGAAAACGGAGAGGGGCTCAGAGGGCTTGCCGGGGGCGCCGCGGGACGCAGGGCGCTCGGAGCGCGGGGCCCTGGGCGCACCCAGTGTGCCAGGGAAGGCGCCGGCGCCGCCCGGGTCCGCTCGCCTCCTGCCTACCCTCGGGGTCCAGGGGCAGCGCCCAGCCGTCCCAGAACAGCTCTTCGGCCAGCGCCAGGCTGCAGTTGGCCTCCAGCAGGCTGTGGAGCAGCGCCGCGTCCATCGCGCCCCGCAGCCGCGCGCTGAGAGGGAGAGTGAGTGCGCGCGTGGCGTGGCTACCGGGGACCGCGTGCGAGAGTAAGCGCCGAAAGCGCGTGAGGTCTTGGCGCCCGCCTACCCGGCCCGGACCTGCCGGACAGCCCGCGGGCGCCGCGCCTGAGAGCCGCGAGCGGCCAAGTCCGGACCTTCGCTGAGAAGCGCCGCAGAGCGCACGGAGTGGCGGGCCCACCCGCTCGGTCACGGCCAATGGCGGCGTCAGGGGGCGGGGCCGGGCCTTCTCAGGCCCCGCTGTGGTCCTCAGGAAGGCGGCGGGGATGAAGAGCGTGGACCTGGGGTGGCAGAATGCCCGGTCCGAGGGTCCCGGGCGCCGAGGCAGCGAAGCGCGCCCGCCCACCCGCCGGACTAACACGCTTCAGCCTCCGTCCACCTGGCTGTCTCCTACAACCTGTGCTCC